GCAGAAAAACAATGTGTAATTTGAAAAAAGTGGTGCGCGAGCACCACCAACTACACAACACTGGGAATGTGCAATGAACTAAAAATTTATCTTTATACCTCGAAAAATGTCTATCTTAACAAGCACAGATAATAAAATATAAACAAATAAAACTGAATAATTGAACAAACATACATAAACAGGCGACGCACAAACCTGAAATTTTATATAATGTATTATTCTTCCGCATCCACGCCGCAACTGAGCACCTTCAATGTAAACATCCCCCAAAACCAGCATATCAGAAAGTTCATCGACAAAATTAACACTTCTTCGAGTCCCAATTCCTTCTGAATGCCAAACTCATAAAAAAAAAGAAAAATGAAGTACAATGATTGTGCATCTAAAGCTTCTAAAAGATGTACTTGAGCATCTATTCCGAAAAAGGAATATCCCGTCGCGCAAGGGAGAAAGGAAGTCTTCTCTTAGAAGACGGAACTGCACGTCTAAATAATGCTCTTGGTCCTCATAACTACCCTCAGTTATATTGGGACGTACGTACGGCACCACTTTAAATAAATGCTACATGATAACAACCAATGGCAAAATAAGGGACAGTGGCAGAGGAAACCACTATAACATACATGAAACCAAATCGTAATTTTGAAGCACCAACGCCGATCAAGATCATTAAGTTGAGTAGCTCAAAATGAAGCTTCTTAGGCCCGCCACTCCCCTGTACTCCCACGAGTATTAAAATTGTAAAAATATACTGCCGAAATCAAATAGCCGCACTTTACTTAAATCAACTTCAAGACCTTTGAAGTTGATTTAAGGCGCGACGATTGATTTCAGCAGTATAAATTGAAATAATACATCGAAATGACGTCTGTACACCACCACACTTAATAATCCAAATAAAGAAACAATTTCTACGGAAGTCTTTCAAGCCATAATTCCATCGCAAGAGCGAAAAATTCACCACTGATGGCCGTTCCACCTTTTTTGCTTCCAAATCAAAACGGGTGATGTGATCGGTTAGAGACAGTGGCCAACCTTGCAAGATAAACTGTTAAGGCGCTAGGCGAAGTATAAATGACGAACCCAAACCAACGTAATTCTTAACGACATACTTGTGTCCAAAAACCGGCCCACTAGTGCAAAGCCCAGATTGTTCATAACAAACCTCATGAGAAGACGGAAACTGAATATGATTTTTCTGTAAATTTAGCATATTCTTCCCGGTAAAGCTTGCTTCCATCTCTCCCATCAGCCTTATTTCCTATCTGATGTTACTTTTTGCACTTCGTGCCTTAAAACTGAGAATACACACAGTACGCCCTTAACAACATACCTGCACCCCCTAAACAACCGCTACGGCTTCAAAATGAATGTTGCAGTCAATAAACTAAACGAAACGACTCAGAAAGAGCCACAACGCGACTCCAGATTAAGCGCAGACCGCACCATAAACTGCCCTACGTAGAACTCCACAAACTAAGCACCAAGACACTAAGCCATCTTCCTTAACTTTTCTGCCAAAACAAGACAAACGCCAACTCCCTCGTATCTCTGAAATTAGATGCGGAAGACATAATGCACTGTAAAGTAATCCAAGATGTCTCCACATTGTCAACTTCGTTCCTCAGCCACCATTACGTGAAAAAAGCCTATAAATCCCTCAAACACAATCCAGATTTAACTTTATGTCACGAAAAACAACCCCATAATGTAACACCAATATGCTCCATTTTGAGCTCTACAACCTAACCAGGCATTAAGGTTCTTAATGTTTGAAAGAAAAAAACAGTGACTAAATAGAGAGAGCAACAATTATCTACCAGGCTTTAAAATATCGTCCGCATTTAAAGAAACAGACAGTGAGCGGAAATCCCCTGGCTTTTCTCTCGTAGCGCAACTGCGCCAAGCCGGTCTCAGTTGACTTTCTGTCAAGTAATCACCACTAGATTCTGTTCCTTCGTACTCATTAGCACTTTTACTGGAAACTGCCGCTGATGAACACCCAGAACCTTGAGAATCCTCATTCAGCGGCAGTTTAGCACTGTTACTCGGCAGAGACGTCTTCGTATCCGGCGATTCCTTACAAGTTTCTGCAGTACCTTTTAAACTAGAATAAGGATCTTTAAACAGTCCAGATCCAACCTCACCCAACAGTGGATCAAACTCCGTGCTTCGCACAAGATTTGCAACAGCAGGGGGCTCTATGATTTTGAATGGCTCTGCAACTCTATCTGATTCAATGCTTTTAAATGAATCCGCAACGGAAGAAGACTTTAAGTCTTTAACCGAGTCGACTCCAGCGTCAAACCCCGTGTTTTTAAGCGAGTCCTCAACAACGCCAGACCTGAAGTTCTTGCTATCTGTTTGAGCAGTAATCGCCGATTCCGCAACATTTTCCATCATCTTTTCTCCTCGTACATAGCATTTTGGTGCGTAATATGCCTGTAAAAGTCTTGCTTTAACGATCAGAAATAAAAAGCTTCTACTTTTAAATAATGCTTAATGTAATCTACGTAACATCACTGCACCACATAAAGAGCCTCAAAAAACAGATAATTAGACAATCTCAACATCCTTACAACAATGGATGGCAAAAAAAATTCCTTCTCGTTGAAAAATTTCTAAAATTTTGGCCTCTCACGCTAACTTCACTACTCAGTCGCGCACGAGTGTCAAAGCCTTTTCCAACTGCTACAGATTTGAGTTTTATTTCTCACGTTCAAAAACGTTGTAAGATAAAACCCCATAAATAAAACTGATACTCGTCAAAAATGAAAGCGGAAAACAGACAGCCCAATATCACAACCCCGTGAATGTAAGCCAGCACATCAGGAACAAAAAGCCTTAAGCATTTCCGAGCTGAAAACACCTGTTATAAATCCCTACTAGCGATTAACGCTTCAAAAGTTCAAACTACACCGCTGACTACAAACTTACCTTTGATTATGCCGTTTTCTACAAGAACATTTACTAGAAATGCCCCAAACAAATAAAGGAATGAACGTTTAGCCTACAAATTTCTGCTTACTTGTATCTTTAAGATAAACTAAGTATCATAACAACAGAAGTTCATGAGTACCACATCCGTACGTACGTGTGCCCTTCACCACAAACCACACCAACTGTTGAAAATTTCAGCATTAACTCTTCCATAAAAACTAAACCACAAAGCTCTTTGCATTTGGTCTTTTCGCACACAAATATGGGTGAAATCATCATAATAAAGTCAATCTGCATAGCAGCGCCCTCAAAAAACTTCGTCGATGCCAGCTACGGCTTCAAAAATTTAAAGTCCCCGTTTCATTGATAACAAAGTTGCTCCATTCTAGTTCGAACAGGTTTTTTACCTGATATTTCGAGATGTTTTCTTATTTTACTAAGTCTGGGCCACGATTTGAAAAAACTGAAAAGGGAATCCACAAAAATGAATCTGAGTCAAGCTAAAGACCGCAAATACTACCATACTTCTACTTGATATGCCCGCTTGCTCAAAACTTTAGTTTCGCTTCTCTTTAGTAGAATCCAACAAATTCTGGATTTCACCAACGAGGCCGAACCTGAAGTATTGAAAAGTGACTCGATACTGAGAGTTCAATTTTCTTACAATAATCGGATACGCTTCAAAAAGACAAGGTCTAGAACCGCAAAATTTCTATCTAACAGATGCAGTGAACAATCACCAGTATATCCAACGTTTTTCAACAACTCAAAATGTTTCCAAAGAAAATATATTTTACACAAAAACGGATGCAAGTCTTTATTGTGAAGACCCCTAGCAACCCTTCTCCACTTCAACGTCTACTTCGCAAACGTTGTAACCAACTGCGCCGTTCAAAGATGACTGCTATTCTGCAGTCTCTCCTCCTGTCAATTAAATAATCCTCGAGATTCTGCTAATTGAGGGCACCTTTACAAACCTTGGAAATAACGACCTCTCCCAAACAGCCTTCTTTTTAAAGACTAGTTTTGGAGAGATTTTTCTCCTGCATTTCATGATCTCCTCGACTCAAATAATTACCTAGGTAAAAGCTTGCTTTTGGAACCAAAACAACAAACACTGAAATCATGAAAAAGCTTCTCCCAATCTAGAAACCTTAGTCTGCATCATTAAAAACATCATTTAATCTGTCACCTAGGACGCCAAAAGCGATGATTTTTTGTGACTGCACAACAATGATTTGCAAATATTCTCATTTACAATGAAACTCCTCTGAACGCATCTTCAATAAAAGTGAAACATGTTGGATTTCAATAACGGCTTGTTCCAGCTTTTAAGAGTAGATTCTGCTGCTGAAAACAAGTTCGACGCTTTTAAATATGTACGACTACCCTGAAAACAGTGGAACCCCACTGCTCTCGCCCCACTCATTCCGTCAGAACAACATCACCAAAGTGTGGTATAATAGAAAGCAGCTAATTTTGCATAAAATGTTCGTTTAATTCAGGAAAACTTTTGAATACTTCCAAAATCTCCTTTAGTTATACCCACCCATGTTTTAGTGAACAAAAAGCTACAATGTTTAAAAAACAAGACACTATGAAACCAATAAGAAAACCACAGATTCCTACTAAGGTCGAGCTGAAACACAAATTTAAAAAGACAGGCGTGTCAAGCAGACAAATCTTGCAGGAAACAGGATGGCGGGAAACCCGTTCTCCCAAATTCTCTCCTCAGTTTCTTAAATGAGTCCAAACCCTACTAAGTACCAAAATTTAAAAATATTCTAAAAAACGAACAGAAAAAAATACGCGGACTAGCATGGAGCAACCTAGCTACACATCCCGTATGGCAAACATCTTTGAATTCGGCACTTTCAAGTATGGATTCTCCAAAAACTTCCCTGCAAAAACCACCTCCACAGTCACTAAACTTTTTAAAAACTAATAATCAGGATTCCATTTTTTTTT